AGGCAGGATGGGAGAATACAGCAAGAGGAATAGCAAGAGAGAAAGCAAGCAAGAAAAAGAAACTCCAGCATGGTGGGTGCAGCATTTTGATGTTGCCCGAGCATTGTGGGTAGTGCAGGGGCTGACGGGAGCCAGACAGCCATCTTGAGGGGACCCTCATGCCTGTTCATGATCCCGGAAGCAAAATGGAGCCCTGGAATGATTGTTAAGCGAAGGAGTGGTGCAGTTAGATTTGCCTTTTGGATGCCTCACTATAGGGACGGTGTGGAAGATATATCTGTGAGGACGAAGGCAAAAGTAATGGTCTATAAAATTTCCGAATGTTCTCTTTGTAATTGCCTTGGAGGAAAATAGGAGGATAGCAAAATGTCTCTTTAAGTATTGGCAATTGTTCAAAGAAAATTAAGTCACACCGGCTATGTTTTGGTGAGTACTTTGTGATTTCTGAAATATCACTCAGCTTGTCTCTAATGAATGATAAAGCAGTTAAATCCATGGTAATTAGACCCTGAATCTTCTGTCTTGGTTTTAAGGAAAATGCCACTCACATGTTTCCAGTTTATCATTCCTCACATTTAATCCCCTTGCAAAAGAGTCGGTTTAACCATCTAGAGGAGCTTTCTAGGAGTTTTGCATTAGTTGACAAGCAAGATAAAGTATAATTCATTTGTATCTGAACGAATTAAAATATTTTATAGATGTCCTAGACAGATTTAGGAGTAGGAAGATGGAAAGTGTTTGTCTCTCTCTTTCTCTGTCAGAATTCAATAATCTTAGAAAACCATCCAAGTGAATAATTCTAGCACAACCAGTTGAACAACTGGAGGCCACATCTAATCACTACACATCTAATCTCCATTTCTGCGAGATGAGAAGCTCTAACCTGCCCTACCCAATGCAAAAACTGGGTTGGGCGCAAAAATGTTGTAGAGATGCAAAGACAGACTCAAGTCACCCAGGAGCTGCCATCACAGTCCATGACAGCCACCGTCCCCTTTGTTGCTTACCACGCTAATTGTCTCCTTCCTTCACCATTGCTATGTGATTATATATGGCAATTAATACTGGCTTAAATTCCTTCAGACAAACCAGCAGCATTTCCTGTTTTACAAATTTGTCCTTTGTGAATAAATGATACACAGATGGCAGTTTGGTTAGTCTATTGCATTTGAAATTGTAGCAAAAGAATCTAGTTTATGGCAACATTATGTGAACATCAGGGGAAAAAACCAGTGGGCTCGAGAAGTGCACCCCAGATCTAGTCCGGACCTGTGTCCCACGTGCTATGTGACCACAAGGAATCATTAGGCTGGGCTGCATTTCTGATACATCAAACAAAGGGATACACAAGATGATCAATAAGGCTTACAATTCTAGTGTTTGATGAAATTCACTCTGGGAAAATTAGAACATTATATGCACTCTTCTGTCCACAGTAATATTATTTGAGAAGTCTGTTTATAAAGACCTAATTAGGACCCAATATAACAGTTGCCAATTTATTAAATGCAAAGCAGCTGTGCTATCAGAACAGAAGGAACCCTTTTCCATTGAGGAAATAGAAGTTGCCCCACCAAAGGCTAATAAAGTTCCCATTAAGGTGAGAAAGAGCCTTGAGTATATGAAACTAAAATGTTATCACATCTATATTGAGTATATCACTGTCATGAGGTCAGATTTTTTTTTTTAATTTTAAAATATTAAGGAAGTACAAATATTTTGGTCACATGGATCACATTTGTAATGCTTGAGTCATAGCTGTAAGTGTGCCCATCACCCAAATAATGCTCACTATACCTAATAGGTAGGTATATGCCCCTCCACTCCTACACCCTACTTGATTTCCACTAAGTTTTACTTCCCTCTGTGCACATGCGTGCTCATCAGTTAGTTTCAATTTAATAGCAAGTACATGTGATGTGGGTTTTTTTTCCATTCTTTAGACACTTTGCTTAGGATAATGGTTTCATGCCTAACATTTGAGTCTTTTTTTTCCCAGCATATTATGGGGGTACAAATTTTAAGGTTTCAATAAATGGCCTTTTCCCCCCTCCCCCACAAGTCTGAGTTTCCAGCATAACCATCCCCCAGATGGTGCACATCTCTGTTTCATGCCTAATATTTAAATCTTTTATGCATCTCGAATTAATTTATGTGAGTGGTGAGAGATAGGGGTCCTGTTTCATTCTTCTGCATGTGGCTATCCAATTTTCCCACCACCATTTACTGAATAGGGCTTGTTTTCCCCAGTGTGCATTGTTAGACAACAATGCTTTAGTCTGCTTTGTCAAAATTTAGTTGGTCTTAGGTAGATGGTTTTATATCTGGATACTCTATTCTCTTTCAATGGTCTATGTCTCCATTTTTGTGCCAATACCATGTTGTTTTGGATACTATAGCCTTGTAGTATGGCTTGAAGTCTGGTAATATGATGCCTCTAGTTTTGTTCTTTTTGCTTAAGATTGGTGTGGCTATTTGGGCTCTTGTGTGGTTCCAATCACAGCACAGAATTATTTTTTCTAGATCTGTGAAATATGATGTTGGTATTTTGATGGGGATTGCATTGAATCTGTAAGTCACTTTGAGCAGTATGGACATTCTAATAATGTTGATTCTGCTGATCCAAGAGCTTATTTTGGTTTTCCATTTTTTTGTGCCCTCTATTATTTCTTTCTTCAGTGTTTCATAGTTCTCCTTAAAGAGATTTTTTGCTTCCTTGAGTAAGTATAGTTCACCTCCTTGGTGAAGTATATTATTTTCTTTGTAGCTATTGTGAATGGTATTGAGTTTTTGATGTAACTCTCAGCTGTGACTGATAGTGGTATATACAAATGCTACTGATTTGTGTAGATTGATTTTGTAATCTGAAACTTTGCTGAATTAATTTATCCACCTCTTGGTGGAGTGTTTGGGATTTTCTAGATACAAGATTATATCATCAGCAAAGCAATAGTTTGATCTCCCCTTTCCCAATTTGGATATTCTTTATTTCTTTCTCTTGCCTGATTGCTCTGGCTAGGACCTCTAGCACTATGTTGATTAGAAGTGGTGATAGTCGGTACTCTTCCTTGTTTTGTTCCAGTTCTTAGGGGAAATGCTTTCAAATTTTCTCTAATCAGCATAATGTTGGCTGTGGGTTTGTCATATATGGCTTTTATAATTTTGAAATATATTCCTTCTATGCTGAGTTTGTTGAGGGCTTTTATCATGAATGAGTGCTGAATTTTGTTGAATGCCTTTCTGCATCTATTGAGATGATCATATGGTCTTTGTTTTTACTTCTGTTTATGTAGTGGATGACATTTATTGATTTATGTATGTTGAACCAACCTTGCATCCCTGGGATGAAGCCCACTTGGTCATGGTGGATTATTTTTATGTGCAGTTGAATTCAGTTTGCTAGTATTTTATTGAGAATTTTTGCATCTATACTCATAAGCTATATTAGTCTGTTGTTTTCTTTTTTGTTGTATCCTTTCCTGGCTTTGGTATCAAGATGATACTGACTTCATAAGATGAGTTGGGAATAATTCCAATCTCAATGTTACAGAATAATTTCTGTAGTATGAGTACCAGGTCTTATCTGTAGGTCTGGTATACTTTGACTGTGAATCCTTCTGGTCTGGGGCTTTATTTCATTGGAAGACTTTTAATTACTGTTTTGATCTTGCTGCTCATTTTAATGTTAATGAGATATGTTTCTTCCTGATCGAGTCTTGGGAGATTTTATATGTTTCCAGGAATCTGTTCATTTCTTGAGCTCATTCTTGAGCTCATTCTCATCTATTCCTGATTAACTTAGAAAAGAATCTGTTGATTTTGTTTATATTTTCAAAGAATCAACTTTTTCTTTCATTTACCCTTTGTATTTTTTTTTTCCATTTTATGTAGTTTTGCTCTGACCTTCATTATTTCTTTTTTTCTGCTGGTTTGGGTTTGGTTTGTTCTCCTTTTGCAGTTCCTTGAAATGTGACAATAAATTGTTAATTTGTGATCTTTTGTCTTTCTGATGTAGGCATTTAAGCCTATAAATTTTCTCCTGAGGAATACTTTTGCTGAGTCCTATAGATCTTGATAGGTTGTCTCCACTTTATTGTTCAGTTCAAACAATCTTTTGATATCCATCTCAATTTCATTCTTAACCAAGTAATTGTTCAGCAGCAGATTGTTCATTTTCCATGACTTTGTATAGGGCTGGGTATTTCTCTTGTGACTGATTTCTAGTTTTAATCCACTGTGGTCTGAGGAGATAGATAATATAATTTTGATTTTTTAAAAATTTGTTGATGCTTGTTTTGTAGCCTAAGATATACTTAATCTTGGAGTATTTCCCACGTGCTAATGAGAAGAATATATATTCAGTACTTTTGGGGTACAATGTTCTGTAAATGACTGTTAGGTCCATTTGATTTAGAGTCTTGTTTAAGTCCAGCGTTTCTTTATTTATTTTCTTCTTTGACGATTTGTCGATCTCTGCCAGTTGTGTGTTGTGGTCCCTGGCAATTACAATGGTGGTATTTATTTCTTTGTTTAGCTCTAGTAAAATTTGCATTATGTGTCTGGGAACTTCTGTGTTAGATGAATATATATTTAGGATTATTGTATCTTCTTGTTGAATTATTCCATTTACCAATATATAATGATGCTCTTTATCTTGTTTTACCTTTGTTGATTTAAAGTCAATTTTATTTGCATGGCTACACTGTTCTCTTTTGGTTTCCATTCTTTCTCTAAAGTAAAGAAGTTCTTCTGAAATTGGAGCAGAGATATACGTGGCAGCTGGAAAAAGAAGTGGTTTAGGAGGGTTGAGAGAGGGTTGTTTTCTTTTCCTTGGGTCATTGTTTCTTAAGATGGGAGAAATACAGTTTATTTGTACGCTGCTGGGAATAATCCAAAATGGGGAAAGGTAATAATGCAGGAGAGAAACAGACAAATAAGGGATAATAAAATGTGAGCCTTACTTAGTGACGTCTAAAGAGAAAATGTGTGCTTATTTGCAGGTTGGAAAAGCAGAGATGATGTCCCAAAGCTCGTGACTGATTTTCTGGCAAAGAAATTTGACCTGGACCAGTTGATAACCCACGTGTTACCTTTTAAAGACATCAACAAAGGATTCGAACTGCTCTATTCAGGGCAAAGGTATATTTTTTTTTTATGGAGATCTTGCTTATTCTCTACAAGTTACTTTTAAAATTTAGGACTCACAAATGTGCCCGTTTTCTTCATGTTTTGTTTGATTTCATCTAGCCAGTTCTATATAGCTGACTACTTCTTCATGGCCTTCGTAACCAATTGTCAAAAACTCGTTGGGGTGTGTTTTTCACATCAGATTTATTTCATCTTGGCTATTTTAATTTGATCATATATTTTTATAATGCCATAAAATTTTCTTATTTTAGTTTTCAAAGGGTCTTTTTCAAAGGTGCGTGCTTCTGATTCTCGTGGGTCGGTTTTGCTTTTGTCACTTTCAGATGAAGACACTAAGGGAGCGAGAGGCGAGTAACTAGCGCGCGGCCTGCTGGGGGCGGCAGGTGTAGACCGCGTGCAGAGCCGGCTCTGCCCAGCGCGCCCCGCCGGCAGGGCTCCGGCTCCGGCTCCGGCTCCGCTCCGGCTGCGGGCTGCGGGCTGCGGGCTGCGGGCTGCGGGCTGCGGGCTCCGGGCTCCGGCTCCGGCTCCGGGCTGCGGGCTGGGGGCTCCGGGCGGGTCCGCGGTCCCGGCTCCCGATGCCCCGCGGTCGGGCGCGCGGAGGCCGCTCCCAAATCCCAGCTGCGGCCTCATGCCGTGGAGGCTGGAGAGCCATCGAAGAGCCTGTCTGGGAGACGAGACGGCCCTTCCCCGGCCCGCACGTGCTTGTCACGCCCGCATGCGCTTGTCGCGGCCCACACATGCTTGTCGCGGTCCGCACGTACTACATACTTGTGGGGGTCCGCACGTGCTTGTCCCAGTCCACACGTGCTACGTACTTGTCGCGGCTCGCACGCGCTTGTCGCGGCCCGCACGTGCTACGTACTTGTACCGGTCCGGTCCGCACGTGCTTGTCACGCCTGCAGGTGCTTGTCCCCGGCCGGCACATACTACTTACTTGTCCCGGCCCGCATGCGCTTGTCGCGGTCCGCACGCGCTTGTCCCGGCCCACACGTGCTACGTACTTGTCCCGGCCCGCAAGCGCTTGTCCCGGCCCGCACATACTTGTCGCGGTCCGCCGCACCAGGACGCGGGTCTCTTGTCGGGAGGCGCCGCGGCGACGTGGGACACGGCCTCGCTGCGCTCCCGGCGCCCGTCTCGCCCCGCGTCCCCCGGCCACAGGAGCGTCGTGTCGGGACACGCATTTAAATTGTGTTTTTAAGCAACGAAACACAGGGTTTGTGTAGAAAACTGTCGGAACCGCCCGCCTCACTCAGCGAGCGAAATGCAAGGTGGCGCGGCCTGCGGGACAGCATCGCCCGTCTCTCCGAAGACGCACAGACCCGCTCCCAGGGCCTCGCCTCCGCCCCGCGCAGCGCCTCCGGCCGCGTCTGCCACCGTGCTCACAGCCGTCCCGCCGGGCCGTCCCGCGTCCCCGCCTGTGCGCAACGCGACTCCCGCCGGGATGTGTCACCACAGACGCCGTCGCCCCCTCGGCTTGCAGACGGGGACGACTCACACCGGGACGTGTCTCCGCGCAGACGCCGTCGCCCTCGCGCTTGCAGACGGGGCGACTCCCACCAGGACGTGTCTCCGCGCAGACGCCGTCGCCTCCGCTGTTGCAGGCGGGGACGACTCCGCCGGACGTGTCCACCGCAGACGCCGTCGCCTGCGCTTGCAGACGGGACACTCCGCGCCGGGACGTGTCACCGCAGACCGTCGCCCTCGCGGTTGCAGACGGGGACGACTCCGCCGGGACGTGTCACCGCAGACGCCGTCGCCCTCCGGTTGCAGACGGACGACTCCGGCGACGTGTCACCGCAGAGCGTACGCGCTGCCGCGCTTGCAGGCGGGGACGACTCCACGCCAGGACGTGTCACCGCAGACGCCCGTCGCCCTCGCGCGCTTGCAGACGGGACGACTCCACGCCAGGACGTGTCACCGCAGACGCCGTCGCCCTCCGCGCTTGCAGGCGGGGACGACTCCACGCCGGGACGTGTCTCCGCAAGACGCCGTCGCCCTCGGCGCTTGCAAGACGGGACGACTCGCGCCGGAGCTGTCTCCGCAGACGCGTCGCCCTCCGCGCCTTGCAGACGGGGGAGACTCCACGCCGGGAGTGTCGCCGCGAGACGCCGTCGCCTCGCGCTTGCAGACGGGGGCGACTCACGCCGGACGTGTCACCGCAGACGCGTCGCCCTCGCGTTGCAGACAGGGGACGACTCGGCCGACGTGTCATCGCGCAGACGCCGTCGCCCTCGCGCTTGCAGACTGGGGCCACTCCGCCGGGACGTGTCACCGCAGACGCCGTCGCCCCTCGCGCTTGCAGACGGGGGACGACTCCATGCTGGACGGTCAGCGCAGACGCCCTTCTCAGAGACGGACAAACGCGGCGGCGCAGGTCACAGCCGCCAAGATGTGGAAACAGCCCAGGTGCCCGTCAATCCAGAATGGATTAATACAATGTGGTGTATGTGCCATGGAGTTCTACTCCAGCTCTAAGAAACAATGGTGATCTAGCACCTCTTGTATTTTCCTGGATCGAGCTGGAGCCCATTCTACTAGTGAAGTATCCAAGCATGGTAAACAAGCACCACATGTGCTCACCGCAAATGGGTAACTGTCAAACTTATGGCACTTTCAATAGTAACATTCATCAGGTGCTGGGCAGGTGGCAGGGAGGAGGGGATGGGTGTATTCACATATGGTGTGGCGTTTGGGTGGCACACTCAAGCCCTGACTCAGGTAGGGTCAAAGGCATATATATAACCTAAACATTTGTACCCTCATAATTTGCTGAATAAAAGAAGGAAAAAAAGAAAATTATTGGTCAGGATGTCAAGCCCAAAGGACTTCCACTCAAAGAATTTACCAAAGTTTCTATAACAGAGAGAAAGACAATTCTTTAAATTATTCTGATTTGAAAGCTATGAAAAAATATCATGAAAACTCTCCTTTCCCATTTCAGCATTCGTACTGTGCTGACGTTCTGAGAAGCTCAGGGCAGGGGCGTGTTGTGGCTGGTCACCGCGAGCCCTCTGAGATCATGGAGCCGCCTCACAGACACAAGCAGAAGTGGAATATTTGCTGCAGATATAGAAGCTTTATAAACGCTTATGCACCTTTCTAAACATTTAGAGTCTTCTGAGCACCTGAGAATCAGCAGGGAGCTTAATAGCAATATTTAAAAAAGTAATTTACATTTTATAAAGCTGCAATTATATATTTGAAATCACATATACTTGGATTTCTATTTTATTTGTTTTTTTTTTTTTAAGAGACGGGTCTCGCTATGTTGCCCAGGCTGGAGTGCAGTGGCTATTCACAGGCGCGATCCCACTACTGATCAGCACGGGAGTTTTGACCTGCTCCGTTTCCGACCTGGCCCGGTTCACCCTCCTAGGCAACCTGGTGTCCCCCGCTCCCGGAGGTCACCATATTGATGCCGAACTTAGTGCGGACACCCGATCGGCATAGCGACTACAGCCCAGAACTCCTGGACTCAAGCATCCTCCTGCCTCAGCTCCCGGTAGACTGGGACTTGAGTTCCAGGAGTTCTGGGCTGTAGTGCGCTATGCCGATCGGGTGTCCGCACTAAGTTCGGCATCAATATGGTGATAATTTTGGTAAAAAAACCAAAACCTAACTGAAATAGCTGAAAAGTATAAAGAATTCCTTTGTGAAGTATCTTCAGCATCAGCTAGGTTTAGCTATAACAGTACTGAGAGCATCCCATAAATAGTCTGTAAGAATAAATATATATATACAAATACACGCACACATCTGGGTGTGTGTATACAATCTTCACGTAGGGATCATCTGTAGACATTTCTCCCATGCATTAAAATTCAATAGCTAGAATCCCAGGACCCATTTAAGGAGGACAAACTGACAAAAAAAAAAAAAAAAAAAAAGGAAGCATTTTATCAAGGAAAACATGTTAAATGAATTACCCTTTGTCTCTTGCCTCAAATTGTGCAAGACACGTAAATAAGGACATAACAGTTACATACAAACATATATTATCTACCCGCCTGTGTCAAGCGTGCCACCCAGCAAACACGCCACACTGTGACCCAGAGATTGGATGCAGTGGCCAGGCGTGCTCTTGGCAACTGCTCTTTCAGATAGTCAAATATTAAACCTTAAATTTAGATTGATTTTTCTCTGCTGTGAGTGAGCAAGACTCTCACTTCACATTCAAGGCAGTATTTTAATTGAAAATCGTGTTTACTCGAATTAGCAATTAAACAGTTTTAAAACATACATGTGGTGTTTTAACTTCACTAGCATAAATTTTGAAGCCAGTTCTTGCAAAGGACCACGTACTTACATAACTTCCTGGCATGCAGCAAATGTAGTACTAGTGATTCAGCAAGGCCTTTCGTAAAACAAACCTTCCTGTGTAAAAACAAACGCAGTGCAAATATTACCCCCTGGTTGGGAATCACAGCCCCAGCCGACAGCGTGGCGAGGTGGCCTGACTCGGGGGCCTGCGTTGCTCCAGCTGCGCCCCGCGCTGCAGCTCCAGCACGGGTCTCCTGACGCCCATGGAGCTCTTCCAAGGCTCCCATTGGAATGGGGATTCCTGACGTCACCATGAACTTGGTTTCCTTTATTTCTGAAAAGAAAACTGAAGACTGTCTGCACAGGAGCAGAGGTGCCAAAGCACTTTCAATTCATGGCTTAACCACAGCAGAATCATCTAGCACATTAGGTGGCAAACTGGAGTCAGAAATTGTCTCCCCAGGGAGCCACTGAATGTTCTGGGAGGCACTCAGGTGGGCCAGCTGGGTCAGGACTCCATCCTGCAGGAAAAAAAGAGAGGCCTGACTTCTAGGACCTCAGCCCTAGCACCGTCAGGATGCCCTGTTTATCCCTACATGGGTGTAGGGTGCTTGACATGGCAGAATTCGAATCCTGGTCTGCACGGCTGTCCCTGTGCAACTTGAAAATGTTATCATTATAACACCAGTCCCTTTTCAAGCCCATTTCTCCACAGTCTGAGGTTTATCTTGTTTGAAAAATACTCAGTCCCGTCTCTTCCCTCAAGTTGCTTTATTACATGGTTAAACCACAAGAAATACTTCCTGTTATCTGAATTATTTCTCTAATTGTGGAAAGGGTGAAATGAAGAAACGGGGCTGCTTCTCCGCACCGGGTCTCCACATCTGAGGCTCAGTGGGTCCACAGCACGAGACTGGGACCTTCCTGCAGGCGCTGGGTGGGCTCCTTAGGGTCGGTGCATTGGGAGTGTTCACGGGAATGCCAAGATCCCTGAAAGAGAAAACACCTAATCATTCCCTGAAGTCTCCCCACCCCACCTGGGAGACCTCGTATTAACATAAGGTCTCTCTACGCTTTAGCTAAGAACATGTTTCTCCTTTTCGAAATGCATACAGTGGAAATGGCCAAGCCCAACACTTTGCCCCAAGAAGAGCTTAGTATTTGGACCTCACTCATGTGAGTTAACTCTTCAACCACTGACAATAACCACCTGGATGCTCACGGGCAGCTCAAACTAACACGACCAGAACTAGACCCCTTCCTTTCCCCCCAAGGTGGACCTGCCTCCTGGCATCTCCAGTGTCTGATCTCACCATCCACCCACTCGCTCCACCTGGAAGCCTGGGCGCCACGCCGGTTCCTCCTCCCCACCAGTCTCCGCATCTAATGAATCAGCACGGCCGCCTGGTTTTCCCTAATGTGGAACATCAGTTCCCGCTTCCTCTCCCCTGCTCCACGTGGCCTGGTTCATTCCTTCCTCTCTTGCCCGGATTCCTGTAGTCACCATCTAACACCTGTCCCTGCCTATTGTTGAATGGCTTTGGAATGGACTTGGATGGCCTATGCAATCCTCCAAGCCTACCAAGTTAAGCACGCTCTTTTTGTGTTCTTTAAATTATAAAAAGGCTTTCTGAGAGCAAATGAGGAAGCATTATCAACTCCCTTCTACCACATTCTCTCACCTCGCACCTCAGAGCAGGGGCCCTCGCAGTCCCAGCATAGACAGGGTGTGTAGGACGGAGGGGGACACCTGCTCACTGTGGACCGGCCCTGCTTGGGTGCCAGTTGATGCTGTCATGTGGGAGGGGGAGGGATAGAGCAGCACCTGCCAAGGGCACGCGTGGTGCCGACACAGGTGTGCTCGATGCCCAGGCCTCGGGTCCCACCTGAGTCCTCCCCTTCCCGTCAGAGCAGGAGCCCCGTCTCATTCCTCCCTCTTCCTTAAGAATAAGGAGACTCATCTTCCATTGGCTTATTTCTTCTTGTAATGGATGGGGTAAATGTCTACAATAATTCTTAGGTGAAGAGTTTACATATAAATTAATACATATATGTGTATGTGTATTTATATTCATTCTTCCAGACTATGGGATGCTCTGAGAACTGCCTTAGCTGAATGTAGCTGGTGATGAAGATATTTCACAAAGGGATTCTTTATACTTTTCAGCTATTTCGGCTGCTTTTTTAAGACCTAGATTATTAAGCCTAGATTGACAAACTTGTAACAGAAAAGAGAATTTATACCCCTTAGGTTCAAGCCACTTTTCAGTGGGATATACTCATCGTGTAAAAGTGGCTCATAATCACCTGGACATTTTGCAATCTACCCAGGCAGGACTGTCCAATCTACGCCATGTTCTTATATTGAAATCCCCAATTTCTGCTCCACCCACCCAACCTCTTATTTTCCTCATTAAGCATTATATATATATATATATATATATATTAGGTACTTCAACACTTTTCTATAATCAAAAAAAGATCAAAATAAAATTGTTCTTTTTAATTAAAATTATCACCACGAACTATTTTGTAAAGTGTTTGGTTTTATTAAGAATTGTAATGTCTTATGGGTATATAAGATATGCCAGTTCAGTTGTACCAAACCAAAAGCACGTTTTATTAAATGAAGTCATTACCAAATACAAAATAGGGACTTTATCAAATTGAATATTGTGGCAAATATTACAATACGATTCTAGCTGCACTTTTGTATTTAAGTAGTATTATAAAAAGGTAAATTTTCTGAAATATTTATATATTCTGGCAAATAGCCTCATGCACCCTAAAAATGTACTTTTTTCAGTTTTACTAAGTTATATAATGATGATTCTTAGAGTTAATCATTGAAAAATATGCCCTTTCCTCTAAATCGCCCTATTTCTTTCTTAATCTAATCAAGCAATGTAGGATACAACGAGCTGATTTCAGAACATAGTCCATGTTAATTTGTAACAAATGTTTCAAAAAAAAATTCCATTCAGATAAAAACAATAGTTACAATGCATTCAATGAGTATACTTTAGGAAATACAACTGCCATATCTTTATATACCATGTCTGTTTTGAGTGTTAGGAGCTAGTTAAAACTCTTAAAAATGTCTCTATTCCAACATAGAAATCCATGCACAAATGTTTTCAAATATATAATTAAAGCCTTATAAAATGTAAATTAAGCTTTAAAATATTACTCTTAAGCCCCCTGGTGATTCCTAAGTGCTCGTAAAACTCTAAATATTTATATAGGTACATAAACCTTCATAAAGGGTCTACATCTTCACCAAACATTCTACTTCCGGTTGGGTTTGTGAGACAGATCCACGATCTCAGAGGAGGGAACTGTGGAAAGTGAGGCTCCAGGTCACCAGCCCACAACACGAACTTCATGCCAATCCCACTACTTTATAAAATAGCAATCCCCTCCCGACCCTGCTCTACCAGACTACCCACTGCCCTTCCTCTATTTTTCTCCTTTGCATTTGTCACCATGTGGTGCACTCTACATGGACTTCTTTTTTATTATCATTATTTCAAAATATTAAGAGGGTACAAATACTTTCGTTACATAGATAGCTTTTATAATCTGCTAGTCAGGGTTGTGAGTGTGCCCACCACCCAAGTAGTGTTCATTGTACCTGTTAGGTAGGTTTTAACCCCTCCCTTGAACTCCTTCCCCCTTTCCTGATTTCCAACAACCTTTACTTCTCACTGTGCCCATGGGTG